GTGTGTGTGTGTGTGTGTGTGAGAGAGAGAGAGAGAGAGAGAGAGAGAGGAAGCTTTTTTTCTTACCAACATTTATAGCCCTCCTCCTGCTGACTCTGTGTGTGTGTGTGTGTGTGTGTGTGTGTGTGTGTGTGTGAGTGTGTGTGAGAGAGAGAGAGAGAGGAAGCTTTTTTTCTTACCAACATTTATAGAACCAAAATAGATACCTGGTGCTCTGGCCAGCTTTTCGGATGCTTCTCTTGACGTAGGCCCTGGCAACCCCTGAAGGTGTTCTAGGGGTATGTGTGTGTGGGTTTTTGTAGGGAATCTTCTTCCTCAAAACTCAGAACCTTTTGACTTTCCCCCCACTTTGGAAGTACAGGGCAGTGATTCCACACTGTGAAGTTATTCAAGTTTGTTGTGGTTTGGTTTGGTTTGGTTTTTCAGTTGGTTTGCCAGCCACCCCGGGCTGGGGGTGGCCTGGGTTTGGATATCTGTTGTATGTCTTTTTCCTGAGAGAAGGTAGTGAGTTGTGGGTGTACCTAGCCCCTTTACCTAAGAACGTCAGTGTCACAAGTGGAAATGCCTTTCATTGGTGATCTAAGGACTCTGCTTTCTTCTCCTTGAGATTGTGCTGTGGGCTGTGGACTGGGATGACTGGCGGGTCTGCCTTCTCTGTGTTCCTGGCTCACCTAAAACTGGGGGCATCACCCTACTTTAGCCTTGTAGGACATCTTGCTCTAGAATTGGATAATTGTCAAATTGCTTGAAAACCTCAGTCGAATCCCTCCTGACCCGTGTTTGGCCCAGTGAGCTCACTCTTCATCTAGTTCTGCTGTGAATGTTAATGTCACCTCCCAGGAGCTGCAGAGACCGATCCTCCCAGGTGCCTGACTCCTTCTCTGAAGTCTGTGGGATTAGCAGAGCTGCGATCAAGACAAGCCTTTACACTGGCCTGCGTGGCCTCTTCTGCTAAGATCCTTATTCTTTTTTTTGCATAAGAAGTGCCTTTTCTAGTCGGGTGGTCTTCAGCCCCCACATGTGCTCCGTGACCAGCACACTTGGGCTTTGTCTTGACAGCCATGAACACCATACCTCAGTACAGTTACATGTAAAAGGGACACGATTATGACAATTTTGCCTTGGTTCTCAGCCTCCCTCCACCCACTGGGCTCTTTCTGTCTGGCTTCTCCCTGGGTTCAGTTCTCTGGCTTCAGAAGTGTGTGAGGTGGCCACCAGCACTGTTCCTTTTTTGTCTCTTAAGGGAACTGCAGCGGCTTCCAGCAACGCTAAGCCCTGCACAGTGAACACGCCCTATCAAGTCTCCCTCATGTTAAAAGGTGCCCTGGCCATAAGCTGTCTGTTAATATTTTGCTTTACTTTCAGCCCCGTCTCAAATGTTGGCTCCCTGAGCCCCTCGCTGGAGCACAGGACACCCCTGCTGTGAGAGAACGGTTTCTGACCCCACCCTTGTGCTAGCAGCCGCGCCATCCGCCCTCTGCCCTTTACTGCCTGCCTTTCTCTTGCTCTTTCGGGTTGTGCAATAACTCTCCCAGCATGTGGTCCTTTCCACGAGCTTTTCTGTCCTTGGCAGTGCCCTGCAGTTGGGAGAGGGATGGGACCCACGGGAGGCGTAGATATCGGGCCTCGATGGAGAAGTCTCCGCCCTTCTTGGCTGGCATCCTCCAATCTTGGGTGAACGTCTGTGGCACCCTAGTAGAAGGTGTAGCATCCCCTTAGAAGTCCATAAATGTGTTGAGAACCGGTTGGGGCGGGGGGAACCATCCTCATGATGGGACATTGATAAGTCTGCGTCTGGGAGTGAGAGCTGATGTGATGCCCCGTGGTGTCACCGTCGCATTCCAGAGTTTCTTGTTCACGTGGAGAGGAAGGGGAGTCTTCTGACCCAGCCACGCACAGACAGCCCTGTGATCTGTCTGTGATCAGAAGTATACCAACATTTTTCTGTGTGCGTGTGTGGTACAAATTTAAGTGTTTATGTGATGAGACTCTAAACCTCATTTTTCAGTTCTTCTGTTTCATAAACTTCTGAAAGATGAGCTGAGGCTGCTGGTGCCCTGAGCAACTCATAATGCAAATGTGGACAAATGGTC